CCTGCCATCAACCTGTTCAGCGGGTATCTGCGGACAGATCCCCTGCTGAGCAGGCAGATCTGCTTGTATGAGGAAAATAAGTAGCAGCACTCTAATATACAAACGACAGGCTTATTTATTATTCAATCCATGAAGATAAAAAGACAGCAATACTCAGCTCTGGGAATTTCAGCAGATGCGTTTCATACTCCTTTAGGCTAGGTTCACATCTGTGTGGGTGGTGCCGCTGCGGACCAGCACAAAAATCCATGCAACTGCACCACCCGCACAGAGGAATGTGGACCCGTTGGCGGGTGCCATTATTTCTAATGGCACGCTGCCTGCACTGGAAAACACAACCGTACTGGGAACCAAGGTTCCCATGCGGGCTGCATTTTCAGAAGTGCAGGGACTTTTTCCCTGCATGTCACGGAGCACGGGAGTCCATTTAAATAATTGGGCTGTCGTGTCCACGCAAAACATGGCCTGCATGGTCGTATATATGTGAACCAGGGCTTACTGCTTATTAATTACTGAAAGCTCCATGAACACTCACCCTTTTGATGCTACATCAACAGGTGAAATAATGCAATCCAGAGGACCATCCCCCCCACATGAAGTGGAGGGGTTAACTCGTCAATGACAAAGATTTGGACTAAAAGAAGTATCCAAAAGGAGCAGTGCTCATTTGTTTTTGTGTTAAAACAATATAACTCAAAATAAATCAATGAATATACAGTATGAACACAAGGTCAACATATACCGTTTGTATATTGGAGTGCCGCTACTTCTTTTCCTCATGTTCACAGATTGTGGTTGAGGACCAAGCAGGCACACAGACACATCCAGCAACATGGGATCTCTGGCAGGTCAGTCTTGAGCGGTGTGTACCCTGTTTGCTGTTTCCCTCGTACTTCCACTTACACCAGCTTGGCGTTAAAACCTGGACCCAGGATTATCTGCAGTAACGTGAGTGACTTCATGGACATTTTTAGCATTTGTCCTTGGATTTATTATATGTATTGATTTACCTGGATGGACTTATAATACAGTATGTAGGGGTCCAGTTTAACATCCATACAATTATCAACATATTGGACTGTGTTTGGAGATCGTGTTGTTGATTGAACATTTATTACATAATGACAGCTCCCAGTTCACAGGAACAAACCAGCCGCACTTTTCATACACTCAATTACTACCCACTGAGGGTTATTGCGCAGGATGTTTTGCGTACCAACAATGAGAATGATGCAGGTTCCCTGAGCAAGTTGAAATGTAATATTGTGACTGAGGTAAAAGCATATTGGGAAAAGACTAAACTCACTGAGTATTTATCTCTAGAGCGGATTCCGTGGGGACTAAGGATCAAGACGTTTCCTACATTTGATTTATTTAACGAAGATTTAAAAAAAAAAAATGGACTGATGCGTTATCTCATTGCTCTTTTGATTTAATGTGTTTGATCATTGCCTCCAAAATCAAGGAGATTGAGAAATTACAACAGGAGATCCATTTGTTACAACATGACATCTTGCCTGAATTTAACAGATTTTGGAGGATTGGATAACAACTTGAATGAAAAAATGAATAATTTGGAAGAGGACATTATAATGGGCAAGAAAGAAAAGATGATGAGGGATAAGCTGGGCTATGAATCCAATAATGTATACATATACAAATAGAGACACCCATGGGGACGTGCAGCTTGTCTACCCAAAAAGAGTGTCAGCTTCTCTGATAATGAAACTGAATATTTAGATGAGACTCTAGCTGTGTCTGGCTCAGATTATTCACTGGAATCATCATCTGGCCTCAGGGCTAATCAGGGAGCAAGTACTCTTGCCCCTTCAAACACGGATAAAACGGGCAAAAACAAGGAATCACAAGAAGTGAGGAGGAGGAAAATAACCAGAAGAGGAGGCAGAAAGAGGTGGAGGGTGATCCCACAATCCCTACTTCCTCAGACATGCAAGAAATAGTAAATGTGTTAAATATATTGCATCGTGCTCTGACCTTACATGGATTGTCTCTTTTGTCTAAAGGTCTTCATTTCTGTCCGTCACAGCATTTTCATTAATTTGGTACTTTATTGGACATTGAGTTATTCGCAATATCACTGTCAGTAAGCACTATTTGAAAGCTGATGACAAGGACGCTGGGTCTGTTAGTTCCTCTATGGATAATAACAGTCCAGAGGAGTTGATTCCTTTCTCTTTCAGAGTGCATCATGCAGCCCAGGACTTAACTGATTTGGCAGAGGAGGGTGCACATACATCTTCTTTTGGAGGCATTGTCAGTGAGGGTCTTCAGAGGGTCCCCATCAAAAGTCATTCTGACTTTTATCCAATACAGTCCCGTGTCCGTGAGATGGACAAGTTCCAGAAGTGTGTGGAGAGGGATTTAGTAAAGTTGGCTGACTCTTCTCATAAATCATGTATCAATGTTGATAATTTAACTGTACAAGAGAAAAGGGCCATGAGAGATGTACAAGACCAGTCCATTATCATATGCAATTCTGACAAGGGTGGTCTGGTGGTTGTCATGGATTGCTTAGCTTACAAGGAGGAGACAATCAGACAACTAACAGACCGGAATACATATAGCATAATGAAAAGCAAGCCAACTAAAACCTATATAGGTAACCTACAGAATCTTTTACAAAAGGGTGCATATTTAGGTATTTTAGCCCTAGGGATGTAATTACTCTTGTCCTAGAATACCCAGTTCTACCAACCTTCCATCATCTCCCTAAAACTTATAAAAGTCTAGATCCATTACATGGCAGACCAATTGTGACTGGAATTGGGTCACTGAACAAGAGATTGATTCAGTGGTTGGATGACCAGTTACAGCTATTAGTGTGCTCTTTACTGAGTTACTGTCAGGGCTCCCGGGTGTGACCAGAGGTGTGTGACTGACGCAGGGAAACGCAGACTTCAGATATGTTATAAACAATGTAATTTATTAACACTAACAATACAAACATAAACGCAGTGCAATACTAAAACATAACACAGTGCAAACAAACCAACCACCCACAGATAACAGTACATACAATGCAAGCGTCGTCAGGCAGGCCGGGTCAATATCAATCGGGCAGGTAGGTACAGGGGGAGCAAGCGGAGAATGGTCGGGGTCACAAGCCAGGTTCAGCAGGTAGCGGGCAGCGTGGTACAGAGGGTCAGGCAGAGGAGAATGGTCAGACAAGCCAGGGATCAGGAGCAGGAGAATGGTCAGACAAGCCAGGGATCAGAGCAGGGTCAGCAGAGAATCAGACAGGAACAGGATACAGGGCCCAGGAGAAACACAACACCAAGGCAGAGTCTGCAGGTCTGAATGTCCCTTAAATACACCAGTATAATTAGTTCCAGGTGTTTGACTGGCTGCAAGGTTGAGTCTCTGATTGCTGGGAGCACCCGCTGGCCAGCCCTGGTACTGCAGCTCATAAGGCAGGTGAGTCCCACTATTGCTGGCCAGTCCATTCCTGACAGTACCCCCCCATCAAGGAGCGGCCTCAGGACTCTCCAAACAGTCCTAGCTGGGCAAAATGTTCCACCGTCCGGGTCTGGTAACTGGCGGGATATCAAAGACTGGCACACCGGGCAGGACTCCGGGCAGGGGCACACCGGGCAGAGGCACATCGGGCTGGACTCCGGGCAGAGGCACATCGGGCTGGACTCCGGGCAGAGGCACATCGGGCTGGACTCCGGGCAGAGGCACATCGGGCTGGACTCCGGGCAGAGGCACATCGGGCTGGACTCCGGGCAGAGGCACATCGGGCTGGACTCCGGGCAGAGGCACATCGGGCTGGACTCCGGGCAGAGGCACTCCAGGCAGCGGCACACCAGGCAGAGGCACTCCGGCCAGAGGCACATCGGGCTGGACTCCGGGCAGAGGCACATCGGGCTGAACTCCGGGCAGAGGCACATCGGGCTGAACTCCGGGCAGAGGCACATCGGGCTGAACTCCGGGCAGAGGCACATCGGGAGATTACCAGGTGAAGCAGCAGGCATCTGGCCCCCAGGTGGGGCGACAGGCATCGGGCCCCCAGGCGGGGCGACAGGCATCGGGCCCCCAAGCGAGCGGCGGGGCGGGCCCCCAGGCGGGGCGACAGGCATCGGGCCCCCCGGCGGGGCGACAGGCATCGGGCCCCCCGGCGGGGCAACAGGCATCGGGCCCCCCGGCGGGGCGACAGGCATCGGGCCCCCAGGCGGGGCGACAGGCATCGGGCCCCCAGGAGGGGCGACAGGCATCGGGCCCCCAGGCGGGCGGATCGGGCCCCCAGGCGGGGCGCAGGCATCGGGCCCCCAGGCGGAGCAACAGGTCTCGGACCCTCAGGCGCAGCGGCGGGCGCCGGACCCCCAGGCGGAGCAACAGGTCTCGGACCCTCAGGCGGAGCGGCGGGGGCACCGGACCCCCAGGCGGAGCGACAGGTCTCAGGCTCCCAGGCGGAGCGACAGGTCTCAGGCCCTGGCAAGACTGCGGGCACCGAGTCGTCTGGCAAGACTGCAGGCACCGAGTCGTCTGGCAAGACTGCGGGCACCGAGTCGTCTGGCAAGACTGCGGGCACCGAGTCGTCTGGCGGAACAGCGGGCACCAAGTCGTCTGGCGGAACAGCGGGCACCGAGTCGGGCACCGAGTCGTCTGGCAAGACTGCGGGCACCGAGTCACCTGGCGGAACAGCGGGCACCGAGTCACCTAGCGGAACAGCGGGCACCGAGTCGTCTGGCAAGACTGCGGGCACCGAGTCGTCTGGCAAGACTGCGGGCACCGAGTCGTCTGGCGGAACAGCGGGCACCGAGTCGTCTGGCAAGACTGCGGGCACCGAGTCGTCTGGCAAGACTGCGGGCACCGAGTCGTCTGGCAAGACTGCGGGCACCGAGTCGTCTGGCAAGACTGCGGGCACCGAGTCGTCTGGCGGAACAGCGGGCACCGAGTCGTCTGGCAAGACTGCGGGCACCGAGTCGTCTGGCAAGACTGCGGGCACCGAGTCGTCTGGCAAGACTGCGGGCACCAAGTCGTCTGGCGGAACAGCGGGCACCGAGTCGTCTGGTGGAACAGCGGGCACCGAGTCAACTGGCGGAACAGCGGGCACCGAGTCGTCTGGCAAGACTGCGGGCACCGAGTCGTCTGGCAAGACTGCGGGCACCGAGTCGTCTGGCAAGACTGCGGGCACCGAATCACCAGGCACGACAGTGGGCTCTGACTCAATTGGCACGACAGCGGGCACCGGGTCATCAGGTACCGGATTGTCTGGCTCGACAGCGGGCATCGGGTCACCAGGTATGACAGCGGGCACTGGGTCACCAGGCATCAGGTCATTTGGCTCGCCAGCGGGCACCGCGTCATCTGGCAAGGCAGTGGGCACCGAGTCACCAGGTACGACAGCGGGCTCTGAGTCAATTGGCAAGACAGCGGGCACCGGATCAGGTACCGGATCATCTGGATCAACAGCGGGCATCGAGTCAACTGGCCTAATAGGATCGTCAGGCTGGATCAGTTCATCATGCTGGGTAGAGGCATCAGGCTGAATTCAGGCGTCCGGCTGAGTAGAGGCTTCAGGCATCGAGTAGAGGCTTCAGGCCGAGTAGAGGCTTCAGGCCGAGAGTAGAGGCTTCAGGCCGAGTAGAGGCATCAGGCCGAGTAGAGGCATCAGGCCGAGTAGAGGCATCAGGCCACGTAGAGGCTTCAGGATTCAGTAGAGTAGAGTAGATTCAGGCTGAGTAGAGGCTTCAGGCTGAACCACGGAAGGCAGGTTCACCGGTTTGGATACTGGCAGGATGGTACTGGTTGGAAAGAATTTTCGCTTTTTTCCGGTTTTAACTACTGGAGCACTGCAAGTAAACGCAGGTCTGCAAACGAATGGAGCAGCTGGAGACAGAGAAGAACTGGAGGATGGAACAGGGGAGGGAGCAGTTGCTACAGAGGGCTTTTTTACAGGGTTAAAGGCAGGATAGGTGCAGCGAGTGGGAACAGGGTACTGACATGCGGTAGATAGCAGGGCAGGAGGAGCTGTTGGGAATGCAGGAATAGAGCTTTGAGGAAATAGATTAGAAGCAGGAACTGGGTTTTTGTAAGCTGACTGAGGCTGGGTGCAACAAATCTGTCCATGTCTGCAGTATGGGTTGAACAAAGCTGAGCTTACACAAAGCCTGTCTGACTAAAGACTGCACTGCGTTTATACAATCTCTTAGTACCTGTGGTGAACATGCAGCATAATGCTCCAAGAAGCAATCCACATCATCCTCTAATAACCATACCAGGGACTCTACCTGGTCGGCACTAAATGGCGGCAAAAATTCATCCCTGCATTCAGGGGTACCAGATGAAACCAACTCCGCACAAACCTGAATCAATGGCTGCACCTCAGAGAATTCTGTGCCCTGATCTACTAGAACATGAGCGAGCCGTATACATTCTAGCAGTTCATCCGGGGATACTCCTTCAGAGTTTGATAAGCATACTCTTTGTCATCAAACGCTAGCAGATATAAATACACAACCTCATCAAGATCCATCTTTCCCATCAACAAACCAAGATGGCTTCCCTGTGCAGCCACTTCTGGTCAGGATTGGCCTTGGTGTAATGTCAGGGCTCCCGGGTGTGACCAGAGGTGTGTGACTGACGCAGGGAAACGCAGACTTCAGATATGTTATAAACAATGTAATTTATTAACACTAACAATACAAACATAAACGCAGTGCAATACTAAAACATAACACAGTGCAAACAAACCAAACCAACCACCCACAGATAACAGTACATACAATGCAAGCGTCGTCAGGCAGGCCGGGTCAATATCAATCGGGCAGGTAGGTACAGGGGGAGCAAGCGGAGAATGGTCGGGGTCACAAGCCAGGTTCAGCAGGTAGCGGGCAGCGTGGTACAGAGGGTCACGCAGAGGAGAATGGTCAGACAAGCCAGGGATCAGGAGCAGGAGAATGGTCAGACAAGCCAGGGATCAGAGCAGGGTCAGCAGAGAATCAGACAGGAACAGGAAACAGGGCCCAGGAGAAACACAACACCAAGGCAGAGTCTACGGGTCTGAATGTCCCTTAAATACACCAGTATAATTAGTTCCAGGTGTTTGACTGGCTGCAAGGTTGAGTCTCTGATTGCTGGGAGCACCCGCTGGCCAGCCCTGGTACTGCAGCTCATAAGGCAGGTGAGTCCCACTATTGCTGGCTAGTCCATTCCTGACAGTTACCTAAAGGACACCAACCATTTATTGACGAGTATGATTGTGAATGTATGATGTGGTTTGGAATCAGTATTATACTTATATATCAACCATTAAAAAAAAAAAAAAGTTATAATCCTACACCCACAGGTGATGCAGAGGAAGGCCAAAAAAACCCAGCAAAGCATTAACCAATTTTCTCCTGCAGGGAAAAAAAATCCTTCCTGGATATTGGAATTGGATATTCCCTGGATCAACTTTACCTATAAATGTTAATATCCAGTTATATTCAGTGTATCTAGGAAAGAATACAGGCACTTTTTAAAGCAATCCACTGAGCTGGCCAGAACCAACTCTTGAGGGAGTCTATTCCACATTTTCACAGTTCTCAATGTGAAGAAACCTTTCCGTGTTTGGAGATTACATTTCTTTTCCTCCAGATGTAAAGAGCGCCCCCTTGTCCTCTGTAATGACTTCAGGGTGAATAGCTCTACGCCGAGTTCACTATATGAACCACCGATGTATTTATACATGTTGATCATAACCCCCCTTAATCTCCTCTTCTCAAGAGAGAATAAATTCAGTTCCTCTAATCTTTGCTCATAGCCGAGCTTCTCCATGCCTCTTATCAGTTTGGTTGCCCTTCTCTGTACTTTCTCCAGTTCCCCAATGTTCTTTTTGTGAATTGGTGCCCAAAACCAAACTGCATATTCCAGATGGGGTCTTACTAATGATTTGTAGAATGATATCTCTCTCTCTGGAGTCTATACCGCTTTTAATACAAAAGAGAATTTTGCTCACTTTAGAAACCGCAGCTTGGCATTGCATGCCATTATTAAGCTTGTGATCTACCAGAACCCCCAGATCCTTCTCGACCATTGATTCCCCCAGTTGTACCCCCCCCCCCAGTATGTATGATGCATGCATATTCTTAGCCCACAAGTGAATAACCTTACATTTATCAACAATAAACCTCATTTGCCACATAGTTGCCCAATTACACAGTGCATTGAGGTCGGCTTGTAAATTGGAGACATCCTGTAAGGACGTTATTCCACTGCACAGCTTGGTGTTATCTGCAAAGACTGAAATTGTATTTTTAATCCCAGACCCTATATCGTTTATAAATATATTAAAAAGTAAGGGTACCAACACTGAACCTTGGGGTACACCACTGACAATCCTAGACCATTCAGAGTATAAATCATTAACCACTACTCTTCGAATACTATTTTTTAGCCAGTTTTCTATCCATTTACATACAGATTTTTACAAGCCCATAGACTTTACCTTACACATTAGCCATGTGTGGGGAACTGTGTCAAACACTTTTGCAAATACAAGTATACAAGGTCCAACGCCACCCCTCTGTCCAAGGTTTTGCTCACCTCCTCATAAAAACTATCTATGTGGTCTTTTATTAAACTCTCCAGTATCTTCCCAACTATAGAAGTAAAACTAACAGGTCTATAATTGCTTGGTAAAGATTTTGACCCCTTTTTAAATATTGGCACCACATTGCCCTTACGCCAATCCAGTGGTACTATGCCAGCCATTAAAGAGTCCCTAAAAATGAGAAAAAATGGCTTTGAAATGACAGAGCTCAATTCTTTAAGGATCCGTGGGTGTATGCCATCTGATCCAGGTGCTTTATTCACCTTTATTCTGTTTAAATATTTTTGGATCATATCAATTGTGAGCCAATGTGGATCATCTTGAGCTGTGTCAATACCATGCACATTATGGAAAAGAGCTCCCCCATGCTCCTTTGTATACACAGAGCTGAAGAAGGTATTTAATAAATTTGCCTTATCTTTGTCCCCAGTCACCCACTCTAGATTATTTTGTAAAGGGCCTACATGCTCAGACCGGACATTTTTACTATTAATATATTTAAAGAATTTTTGGGGGTTGGTCCTGCTATCTTTTGCAATCTGTTGTTCGTTTTCAATTTTTGTGGCCTTTATTCCCTTTTGCATATTCTGTTATATTCTTTGTAATGTTTAAACGATGATAGCATTCCTTCATTTTTATATTTAATAAAAGCTCTTTTCTTATTATCTATAGCTTTTTTTTTACTTTGACCTTAAGTCACATAGGTTTGATTTTTAGCCTTTTAGACTTGTTGCCCATGGGAATATATTTTTCAGTGTGTTCACATACAGTCTTTTTGAAGGACTCCTATTTCTGTGTTCATTGATGGCAATCGTCACTCTCAGTCTAAGTCTTGGAGAGCAGCTCTTAGCCTTGGAAAACTAGCTCTCTTAAAATTGAGTGTTTTTATTTTTCCCGTATGTGCTCGCTGTTTACAGCTAACAATAAATTAAATCATGTTATGGTCACTGCTACCCAAATGTTATTTTATATGAACATTTGTAATAAGCTCTTTATGGTATGAGATTACCAGGTCCAGCAGAGCATCATTCCTAGTTGGGGCTGTGAACTGTACCATACAATTGTTCTGTCGTAGGTTTAAAAATTTTTGCCCTTTAACTGTGCCTGCAGTACCATTACTCCAGTCATTTTCCGGGTAGTTAAAATCCCACATTATTATCACTGTCCCAGCCCTTGCAGCCCTTTCGATCTGTGCAAGTAGCTGAGTCTCCACCTCCTCATTAACACTGGGAGGCCTATAACAAACTCCAATGATTACCCCCATGTTCAGTTCCACCCATAATACTTCAGCCTCATCACACTCTCCATCAACTAGGTCCTCTTTCACACTCGCTCTGTTATCACTTCTCACATAGAGATAGACACCACCACCTTTTCTATTTACCCTGCCTCTCCGAAAGAGAACATAACCAAGATTATTAATGGCCCAGTCATGTGCAGAATGAAGCCAAGATTCAGCAATACCAAATAAATCATAGTTCTCTTCATGCACCAAAGCTTCCAACTCACCTATTTTGCTTGGCTGACTTCTGGCATTGGTGAACAAACACTTTAATAAATTGACACCTTGTTCACACGTATTTTGCATATTTTTTATTTTCATACAAATGGTAACAATTCCAATGGTTGTTTGTAACATGGGAACCTTCTTATCATCTGCCATAGCCTTCCCCCCATCTTTCCCTATTCCACCCACCAAAAAGTACTGACCCCTGTCTGATCTGTCTACCCCATTATAATCTGAATTCTCCCTCCCCCCTCGATCCTAGTTTAAATATTCCTCCAGCCTCCCCATAAACCTCTCCCCTAGCACAGCAGACCCCCTTCCATTTAAGTGCAAACCGTCTCTAGGATATAGGTTGCACCCCAATGAAAAGTCAGCCCAGTGCTCTAGAAAACCAAATCCTTCCCTCTTACACCAGGTCTTTAGCCATGCATTGAGTTCTCTAATCTCCCCCTGTCTTTCCTGAGTTGCGCATGA